GCGCGCCCTTGCTGCTTGCAAGAAGCCCCTTCCCCGCGCGCCACTGCTGCCTGCAAGCAGCCCCTGCCCCGAGCGCCCCTGCTGCCCGCGAGCAGCCCCTGCCCTGCGCGCCCCTTCTGTCCGCGAGCAGCTCCTACGCCAGCGCGCCCCACAGCCTAATGCGCCAGCGCGCCCCGCAGCCCAGCGCGCCAGCGCACCCCGCAGGGTCACCCACAGCTCCACCGCCACTAGGACTCGCAGCACCCGCACGCGTCCCACCCAGTCCCCCTAGCGCCTCTCTTCCTGGTACCAGTCCCCCCCTCGGTAGACCCCCTCCGCCCACAGGGTCCCGCTCCCTCAGGTGTATCTCAGGTAGACCCACCCCCCTTGGTTGAGCCTTTGGAGATCTCTTCTGACTCCTCTGGCCCAACTGAGGGGGGTGACCCCGCCGCTGACGACATGGCGGCCACTCGCCGCTCTCCACGCTTGGAGACCCCCCCTGGTTTTCCGCCTCGGCCGTCTTCGCCGCCTCCGCAGCCTGCTGCTGTGGACTCTGGAGCTGAGACTGTTGGTGCTGAGCCTTGGGGTGCTGAGACAGAGGGTTAGGGTTCTGGGGGTGCCGCGACTGGGGGTGTTGCGACTGGGGGTGCTGGTTATGGGGGTGCTGCGATTGGGGGTGCTGACTCTGGGGGTGCTGCGAGTCCTAGTGGCGGTGGAGCTGTGGGCGACCCTGCTGGAGGTCCTGGAGCTGGACAGCCACCGCGGCCTGATCTACTTGAGACGCTCTCGCCGCAGGTGATTCGTGCGTGGATCATTTGGCGTGGCAGTCCTGGTGGTGGAGGGTACAGTCCTGCTGGTGCTGGAAATGCTAGTCCTGGAGGTATTGCTGGTGTTGGAGGTGCTCGAGGTACTACTAGAGGTGCTGGAGCTGCTGGCACTGGAGGTGCTGGTGCTGGAGGTGCTGGAGGTACTGCTGGTGCTGGAGGTGCTGGAGCTGGAGGTATTGGAGGCGCTGGAGGTGCTACTGGTGCTGGAGGTGCTAGAGCTGGAGGTACTGGAGGTGCTGGAGCTGCTGGTCCTGGAGGTGCTCGTACTAGAGGTGCTGGAGCTGCAGGAGTAGCTAGTGCTGCTGGTGCTGGAGGTGCTAGTGCTGCAGGTGCTAGAGGTGCTACTGGTACTGGAGGCGCTGGAGGTGCTACTGGTGCTGGAGGTGCTGGAGCTGGAGGTACTGGAGCTGCTGCAGCTGCTGGTCCTGGAGGTGCTCGTACTGGAGGTACTGGAGCTGCCGGAGCTGGTGGTGCTGTTGGTGCTAGAGGTGCTGGTGCTGCAGGTGCTAGAGGTGCTACTGGTACTAGAGGCGCTGGAGGTGCTACTGGTGCTGGAGGTGCTGGAGCTGGAGGTACTAGAGGTGCTGGAGCTGCTGGTCCTGGAGGTGCTCGTACTAGAGGTGCTGGAGCTGACGGAGCAGGTGGTGCTGCTGGTGCTGGAGGTGCTGGAAGTGCTACTAGAGCTGCTGGCAGTGGAGGTGCTGGAGGTACTACTGGTGCTGGAGGCGCTGGAGCTGGAGGTACTGGAGGTGCTGGAGCTGCTGATCCTGGAGGTGCTGGAGCTGCTGATCCTGGAGGTGCTCGTACTAGAGGTGCTGGAGCTGCCAGAGAAGGTGGTGCTGCTGGTGCTGGAGGTGCTGGAGGTGCTGCTGGAGCTACTGGCAATGGAGGTGCTGGAGGTACTGCTGGTGCTAGAGGTACTGGCGCTGCCAGAGCTCGTGGTGCTGCTGGTGCTGGAGGTGTTGGAGGTGCTACTAGAGCTGCTGGTGCTGAAGGTGCTGGTGCTGCTGGTGCTGGAGGAGCTGGAGCTGCTGGTACTGCCCCGCGCCGACCGTTTTTCTACCCGCAACCGCAGTCGTCCCTGCCGCCGCCTGACTCGGTCCTTCGCCAGGTTCTTTGTCTCCCGTCTTCCACTGGCCTCACCTGACTCCACCTCTCCTGTGTCCACCGACAGACCAGTCTCAGCCACAGCTGCCTGCTCCTGCTGCCTGCTCCTGCTCCCCGCTGCCTGCTCCTGCTCCTCACACTGTGGTGACTGAGTTCCTAACTGAGCGTCATGAGCCTGAGACTCGTGCTTCCACACCTGTTCGTGCTCGTCGTGTCAGCCGTCCTCGTCCTCCTGCTGTCCCAGGCACTCACGCTATGGCACTTCGTCCTTCTTTTGTTCCACAGCGTGTTGCCCTTCCGTCTCCTCCGGTGTCCTCTCTTCCTGACGTGCTTGACCCTGCGTCCGTCCTTGCTCGTGCTGCCAGTCCTACTGTCACTCGTCTCCTCGTTATTGTCGTCACTGACCCTGACTTTGAGTCTACTGCTGCGTTTGCCCTAGTCACTGAGCTAGTCGACTTTGCAGCTAGGAGTCGTCTCGACTACGTTGCGAGTCTTGTTACTGAGTCTGAGTCTGTTTGTCCTCCGTCCGTCAGGGGTGAGCCTGCCCTTAGCAGTGACGTCCTTGAGGATAGGCAATTTGAGCTTGAGTGTCTTGCGACCGCTTTACCTCATTTCGCATCCATGCTGCTTTGCCTTGAGGGAGACCCGGATGCACTTGACATCCCTACCCTGCGCTCTTACGCAGAGGCGATCGCGGGTGAGTACTCCTCTCAGTGGCAGACAGCCATGGACGCAGAGATGGCTTCCTGGAAGTCCACAGGCACCTACGTCGACAAGGTTCCTCCTCCTGGGGCGAACATAGTTGATGGCACGTGGATTTTCAGAGTGAAGCGGCCGCCGGGTTCTCCGCTTGCCTTCAAGGCGCGTTACGTTGCTCGAGGCTTCAGTCAGTGATAGGGGGTCGACTTCTTCCAGACCTTCTCCCCCACCCCGAAGATGACTACTCTTCGGGTGCTACTGCACGTTGCAGCACATCGTGACTACGAGCTGCACTCTCTCGACTTCTCCACAGCTTTCTTGCAGGGCAGTCTTCACGAGGAGATCTGGCTGCGCCGCCCACCTGGCTTCACTAGGTCTTTTCCTGCGGGTACCCAGTGGAGCCTCCGGCAGCCAGTCTACGGTCTCCGCCAGGCGCCCCGAGAGTGGCACGACACACTGAGGACTACATTTGCGACTCTTCGGTTTGCTCCTTCCTCTGCTGACCCGTCGCTGTTTCTACGCACCGACACTACCCTGCCGCCATTCTACGTTCTCGTGTACGTCGACAACTTGGCTTTTGCTACTGCTGACACCGAGGCGCTGGCCCTAGTGAAGGAGGAGCTGCAGGAGAGACACACCTGCACTGACCTAGGTGAGCTGCATAGCTATCTTGACTTGCAGATCACCCGGGACAGAGCACGGCGCACCATCACCCTGACTCAGTCACACATGGTGCACCAGGTCCTTCGGCGCTTCAGCTTCCAGTACTCCTAGCCACAGCCCACTCCTCTGTCTACTGGCCATTCGCTCTCAGCTCCACCTTCGGACGAGTCCGTAGAGCCGAGTGGTCCGTACCCAGAGCTTGTGGGTTGCCTCATGTACCTGATGACGTGCACACGACCTGACCTCGCGTACCCTCTCAGCCTCCTGGCTCGCTACGTGGCTCCCGGTAGACACCGAAAGGTGCGCTTTGATGCTGCGAAGAGGGTATTGCGTTAATTGTGCAGTACATCGGGCATGGGGCTTGTGCTTGGAGGACAGGGTTCAGTAGTACTCACAGGACACTCCGACGCTTCTTGGGCCGACGACCAGGCGACTCAGCGTTCGTCACAGGGTTACACCTTTAGTCTTGGCTCTGGTTCTTTTTCGTGGAGGTCCACTCGTTCTTCTTCTGTGCTTGGTTCCAACTGTGAGGCCGAGATCTACGCTGGGGCCATGGCTGCACAGGAGCTACGCTGGCTGACCTACCTGCTGACCGACTTGGGGGGGCGGCCTCGTTCTCCTCCAGTTCTGTACGTCGACAACAAGGCCATGCTTGCCTTGTGTCGGGAGCAGAGACTGGTGCACAGAACGAAGCACATTGCTCTTCGCTACTTTCTGCAGCAGCGTGGTCAGCTTCGTCTTTCTTACGAGACCTCTCGGGCCAACACTGCTGATGTCTTCACCAAGGCCCTCGGGTCTGGTGATCTTCAACGTTTTTGCACTGCTCTTGGGCTTCTGCCCGTTCTACCTCACCTGCTTGTCTCTTGATGTTGTATTTGTTGTACACTGATATCTATATTTATACCTGCATGTTTCCTATTGCAAGGTTGTGATCAGTGTGTTGTCTTGCTATTATAACTCTTCATGTGAATTGGCCTTGTGGCCGCTTGCTTGTGCTCGGATTGTGTGGTGTTCTTGAGATCCACCCTGAGCTTTGCTTTGTTTTGCTCTGTTGTCTTGCTTGACTGGTCTTGGGACCGTCTTGTTGTCCCCCACTTAGCCTATGGGAGTGTGTCAAAGCACAATCTTACTTGTAGGCTATAGTGGGGCACTCCTTATAGGGTACAGCACTTCTATGGTTAGTTATTGTACCCCAACTCTTGCTAATCCAATCACTCCTGCACAGTTGATTATGACAGTGGCGGGAGTCGTGGTCGAGGCGAGTGTCGCGAGCGGGTATCGTTTCACTATTGGGTGCCGGTGGTGAGATGAGAATGGTCATGTACGCAATAAGCAGGGGCGTGAAGTACGGTAAGGAAAATGAAATTTCCTTACAGGTACAGATATTTGTACCGTATTCTCCCGGACAAAACACCCCCCCATAATTGTACACCCCCGGGTAGCTTGTGCGGGGTGGGTGTTATGGGGAGCCTCGTTTCTACTATACCCCCCTTTTTGCCTGATTCTCTATAAGACCCGGGGGGGAGGGGGGGGGTGTTATGGGCGGCAAAAATACTGAATTTGCTTACTGTACATTGCATACAGGGTACTTTACAGGTACCGGTACTACAGAAGTAATGTGCCAGCACATAGGCATCGACAATGTCACCTAGACTGCAGAAACATCACCACAAGAGCACCTCACATCCACAATTTCACCTAAAAAAACTCTATACAAAGTGCCTTCTACTCAGAATCGTCTCCTGCATGCCATTCTTCACAGTCTTCCCCGTCAAAGCGGCTAGGGCGCCACCATTCGTCATCGCTGGGCTCCTCTCCCTCCCCGCCTTCCTCAAGCATGCCCCCCTCCTCCTCTGCCGCCGCCGCTTCCGCGTCCTCCTCAGCGGCGTCAGCCTCCTCTGCCGCCGCCTGCAGCACCTCGGCCGGCATGGGGACTTCGGCGTAGAAGGGGTTGACGACGAGCTCGTCGTCAACCAGGTCGTTGACGTCGTCAAGGACTTCCACCTCACCCTTGTCCCGCATGTGGGCAAGGATGAGGTGGTCCTCGCTGCCATCGATGGGGGTGGAGATCCCACACGTGACGAACGCCTTCTTCACGAGCTCCTCTGGGATTGCTTCCCAGGACTCATCGATCCAGCGGAGCACCAACTCCGCTGGCGGCTTCTTGAGATTGCCTGAGGGACGGGGAAGGGTAGACAAGGACGAATGTGAATTTCCAGAGCGTAAGCTGACATTGATTAAAAGTCACGCATGCGAATGTCATGGTTCAACTCACCGGCGTTGGTGGTGGTGTTGATTCCTTCTTCTTCGAACCAGCTGCTGTAGCGATGACGCACACCGCACTTGAACGCGCGGTTGATCGACACATCCAGAGGCTGCACTAGCGGAGTGCAGCCCCCTAGGATGACAGCCCGTGACAGCCGAAACATCCGCATGGTCTGCCCGACTGCCTCAGTCAAGTGGCCGCGGTAGGAGTCGAGCACAACCAAGGCCTCCCTGCGGCGTCCAGTTGATTCACGCAAGGGCTTCAGAAACGGCACCATCACCTGGGTGATCCAGTCCTGCACAAGTGATTCGTCCATCCACCCTTTGTCTTGTGCACGGACCACCACACCTGCCAAAGAATACCGGTACGTCAGGGTCAAATTCGGTTGCGACTGTTGACAGGCTAGAGTAGTGACATAATCCTAAACGTGCTACGCTTACCGGCAGGGATGGGCACCTTCGGTATGGTCTTGCGCTTGAACACCACGTACGGCGGCAGCTTGAGCCCGCTCGCAGTTACTGCCAGCATGACAGTAACACGCTCCTTCTCATAGCCCGCACTCCGTACATGAACCGTCCGCGCTCCCTTCATTTCGAGCGTGCGCTCCGCCGGCATCTCCAGGAAAAGCGGGGTTTGGTCCGCGTTCAAGATGAGGTCAAGCGGGTAGTCGTGCAGAGAGCGCATCTGGCGCAAAAACTCCCAGAAGGACTCCACCTTGGCCTTGCAATCTGCAAGCAAAGCCACGAGACACATTAGCTCAGCACTGAGATGGCAATCAAGGAGCACGACGGCGCAACACTTACCCGCTGCCAACTTCTGTCCCATCTTCGTCTTCACCCGCCTCGCCAGATGCCAGCGCGCGCGGAAACGAGTCGCCCAGCGGAACGATGCGCGCCAGTTGACCCCGGGCATCCGGTGCTTCATGTACTTGGCGCTCCACTTCTGGAGCATGCTGATCGAAACGGCGAGCCCCCTCCCCCTGTGCTTGAGGAACTGGCGGTAGACCGCCCGTTCCAAGAAAGGGAACTTGGACTTGCGGCCAGCTCCCATGAGGCGACGACGGCAGCTGGAAGAGACCTCGAGCCGCTCCCTCATCTTCTTCCAATCGCGGATCTGGCATGGCTGCACCTTCGCGAGCTTCGCCAGGGCGCGATTCGACAGGTCAGGCTGCGAGTCCTGCATCTTCAACCAGTGGAGCTTCTCCTTCGCGGTGATTCCCTTGCGCTGGCGTTTCGTCATGCGATGGCGAGGGGATGGCGGGTCAGCATCGGCGTTGCGCTTCTGCTGTCCCTGCGGGCGGTTCCGCTCCGGGAACGTGGGGACAACCACTCGAGGAAGGGTAGGGCGAGGACGGTCCAAGCTACTGCTCGGTTCATCCCTGGTAGAAGCACTACCGGGAGCATCCGGCTGAGGAAAGATCGGGCGAGGAGACGTCCGTGCGCGTGCATAAGCGCTAGTCTGATTGGTGGAAACAGGCCGCTGCCGCCTATCTACCGTACTACTAGAATCTGGAGATGAAGCCATGCTTGGGAACTAAGGCAGGTCGATGTCACTCGCCATGGGAGAAATGACTTTAAAGTAGATACCCTCGTGCACAGGAAGGAGACGCTCTCACAGCCTGCCGAGCACTTGTCAAAGACGTGCACTGGAACCGCTTGACGAAGAGAAGAGCAAGCTTGGGTGAGGAAGCTTGGACATGACTACCGTACACGGCAGTCAAGGGGTCACAGGTACAGTGACAACACAGCACCGTGCGCGATTCCGGCCTCGTACTGCATGAACCCAAGCTGCGCGAGGTTGGCACTGATGTCAACCAATCAGGTGGCATAGTGGGCCCACTGGAATTTGCCATGTGGCAGATTCCAGTGGAGGCCGACGTTATCCTCGTAGACGCGGTTTGGCGGCCCTGATTTTAAAAATAATAACAAGGCCAGACCCCTGTTTTTGTTTCCATTCATTTCTGCTTATAAAAAAATGTGCAATATAATAAGACCCAGGTATTATGTATTTTTTTCCTATGAGGAGACCCCCCCCATTTTTTCCCTGTATTTTTAGCTATACCCTAGGGTGTTATGTCTGGGAGAATACGGTACTAGTGATAGAAATATACCGTAAGGTGACAAAATCATATCCAGACAGGCCACTAGCTTCGTATAGCTAGCTTTAACAATAGTAATGCAAAGTTGTCCACCACCTGAGCTAACTTCCAGTCAGTGCTGTTTGTGGGTAATCCAACTGTAACAAGCTCACTCCCCCGTCACTCATTTTCTTCATTTGAGGTTTCATTATTGGAGGGGAATGTGATGGAAATGAAGTTTCCGAACCGGGACGCGTAGAGAGCGGGGTTGACAGCGCTGATGGACAAGCCGTCGTACCGAAGACTCTTGCACACGTGCTCCGCCTTCTTGCGCGTGTTGTACTCCTGAATGTGGTTATGTGTGCAGGAGGGAGGGAGACGAAAGCGAAAGCGATTCAAGCCTGGAAATCTGAGGGCCGATCAGAATACAGCTGGTGATGTGGGGAGACGGTTTTTCAGACCCCCTCACAGCGATACTTCTGAAGTTTGTAATGGTGAGGGGGAAACAAGAGGCTGGCAGCATTGGTAAGGGGGAAACAAGATCCACAGTCATGCATTGGACGTGCCGTCGTACCGAAGACTCTTGCACACGTGTTCTGCCTTCTTTCGCGTGTCGTACTCATGAACGTGGTGATGTGTGTGTGTGTGTGTGTGTGTGTGTGTGTGTGTGCGTGAGTGTGTGTGTGTGTGTGTGTGCGTGCGCGTGTGTGTGTGTGTGTGTGTGCGTGTGCGTGTGCATGTGCCTGTGTGTGTGTGTGTGTGTGTGTGTGTGTGTGTAGGCGAGAGAGAAAGCGAGAGTTGTATGGGATGGATTGCAAGGCTCTCTTGCACACGTGCTCCGCTTTCTTGCGCGCGTTGTACTCCTGAAGGTAGTTGGTTGCCTGGCCCCAGCAACCCTCAACCCTAAACCTAGAACCCTCAATAGCTGACCTGTAGGATATCGATGATCCCAAAGTGCAGCACCACTTGGTACGTCTCCCTCTTAGCCGGATCCATCACAGCCTTGCGTGTCCGCCTGTCCACCCTCACTGCCGTTGCCGGCATGCCCTGCCCCAGCAGCACCCCGCTCCCTCCCTCTCCCGTGCCCCCCACCGCTCCTCCCTCGCCCACGCTTCCTCCCTCTCCCGAGCTCCTCCGCTCTCTCCCTTTCCCTCCCCCCTCCTCCTGCTGCTGCTGCTGTGAAGCTATGGGCAGCAAGAAGCCGTTTGCCACTTGCCCTGCCTTCCCTTCTGCCCCGCTCGCTGCTGCATCAGCTGTCGATCTTGTCCCTTCGGCTGCCCCCACCGTGGCATTTTCTGGATGGCTGAGTTTGTCTGTTGTGGTGGAGGCGTCAACTGATGCATTGGCGGTAGAGGTGGAGGCAACCCGCTGCCATGGCCGCTGCATATGATGCTTCATCTGTGGTTGACGGCAGGGAGAAGGGGGGGTGTTTGAAGGGTGAAGGGGGGGTGTTTGAAGGGAGAGGGGGGCGGGCTGAGGTGGAGGCAACCCTCTGCCATGGCCTCTGCATGTGATGCTTCATCTATGGTTAAAGGCAGGGGAAGGGGGAGAGGGAGGGGGGGTGGGAGGTTTGAAGGGAGGCAGTGTTAACGGGAGTGGAGTGTTGGCCCCGCCCTCGCTTGGGCAACGCCGACGACTTGGTCGGATGTACAGGAGTAGCAGCCGACCGTTCACAGTGGGAGAGCTGCTCGACAGGCTACGTCGAGCTGCAGGGGACCGCTGTGGTGTTGCTGTCTGTGAAGAAAGGAAACTCAAGCATTAACTTCATTAGAGAGTTTGCAAGCATACATAGCTTTGGGAAGAGAAGGTTGGAAGGGAAAGGAGGGAGGTGGGAATGGGGGAGTGGGCCAACCTATGGCCCATTGGGTTGGGTTGGCCATACTTGGGAGAGTGGGCCAACCTATGGCCCATTGGGTTGGGTTGGCCCTTACTTTGTGAGAGTGGGCCAACCTATGGCCCAATGGGTTGCATTTGGGGGCTCCACCACAATTGGGTTGGATTGGCACCCCAAAGTGCAAGACTACACCCAAAGTTGGGTGTAGTCCCAACCCAACTGTACACCACAATTGGTGTACAGTCACAAGTGTTAGCATGCTAGAATATGGCAATTCTAACACAACCCCTTAGCAGGCTAACACAGGAAGGGAGCAACCCCTGAATCAGGGGGCGCCCGGGCGAGCAAGACCGATGAGACGGAGGAGAGCAGAGTGCGCAGGGCGAAGGAGAGCCTTGGTGAAGATGTCGGCCAAGTTGGCCTCAGCAGCAATTTTGCGGACAGCAAGAAGGCCGCGCTGGACGAGCTCGCGGATGAAGAAGTAGCGGAGTTCGATGTGCTTGGAGCGGGCGTGGTAGACAGGGTCCTGAGTGAGGTGGATGGTGCTGGCGTTGTCACACCAGCGGGTGGGGCAGGGCTGAGGGGCGCCAAGCTCAGCAAGAAGAAAGCAGAGCCAGCGGGACTCCTGGGCGGCCATGGTGCCAGCGTAGAGCTCAGCCTCGCAGGAGGAGAGAGAAACGGAGGAGGAGCGTGTGGAGCGCCAGCTAACTAGGCCGATGCCGAGGGTGAAGCCGTAGCCTTGAGAGGAGCGGCGGTCAGGCTGCGAGTCGGCCCAGGAGGAGTCGCTAAAGCCCGAAAGGAGGGGAGGGGAGGAGCCACCAAGAGTGAGAGCGTGGTCCTTGGTGCCACGAAGGTAGCGGAGGACCCGCTTAGCAGCTTTCCAGTGCACCTCGGAGTGGCGACCAGGGCCAACAAAGCGAGCGAGCACGCTGATGGGGTAGGCGAGGTCGGGACGGGTGCACATCATAGCGTACATCAGCGACCCAACGAGCTCAGCATAAGGGTGAGAGGAGGAGGAGGGCGAGGTTGGTGGAGCAAGCTGGTGGCCGAAAGGGAGGGGGGTGGCTATGGGACTGGCCTGAGTCATCTCGTATTTCTCCAAGATTAGGCCGATGTAATGAGACTGGGAGAGGGTGATGGTGCGAGCGGGACGGTCGCGAGTGATAGCCATGCCAAGGTAGTGGGTGAGGTCGCCCAGGTCCTTGCACTTGAGGCGCTGCTGCAGCTGCTGCTTCATCTGCTCCATGTCAGTCTTGGAGTCAGAGAGCAGAATCATGTCATCCACATACACCAGAATGAAGAAGCGGCGAGGGGAGGAGCGAAGGAAGAGACTGGCGTCAGAATGAGAGGCAGAGAAGCCAAGGGATCCCAAGGTGGTAGACAGCTTCGCGTGCCACTCCCGAGGTGCTTGCTTCAGACCGTAGACAGGTCGACGCAGCTGCCACACAGTGTTATCCGGAAAGGCGGCGTGGAACCCGGGGGGTCGCCGGAGGAAGATGCGCTCGTGCAGGTCCCCTTGCAGGAACGCATTGGAGACGTCCATGGAACAGATCTCCATGTCGTCGCGTGCACCAACGTCAAGGAGGGTGCGGAGGGTGGGTGGCTTGGCGGTGGGGGCATAGGTGAACCAGTAATCTTCAGCCCAAGTCTGGGTGAACCCCTTAGCGCAATAGCGGGCTTTGTAGACCGGATCCTCGCCGGGCAGCTGCTTCACCTGAAAGACCCACTTGCCCTCGACAAGGTTGGCATCGTCCGGGAGGGGGACATCAACGAAGGAGTCGTTGCGAATGAAGGCCTCACACTCCAGGAAGATAGCCGCAATCCACCTGTCCGCATCAGGGCAGGCGATGGCCTCTTTAAAGGTGGAGGGAGTGAAGATGGTAGGGGTGGAGGTGGCGCCAAGGACGGGAAGACCAAGGAAGTCATGAAAGATGGAGGCAAGGAATGGAGTGTGGTGCCGAATGTCGAGGAACTCCTTGTGGGAGTCCTCAAGGAGCTGAATGGAGGCGGGAGGAGGGGCTCCAAAGACCTTGTCAAGGGAGCGAGTGTGCATGCGAGGGAGGAGAAAAGGGGAGGAGCGGGAAGTTGCTCGGTAGCGCTGCTGCTGCTGCTGCTGCTGGACCTGCTGCTGCTGCTGCTGCTGCTGCTGCTGCTGACGCGGTGGAGTCGGCTGCTGCTGCTGCTGCTGCTGACCCGGCTGCCACTGCTGCTGCTGCTGCGGACCCGGCTGCTGCTGCTGCTGCCCCGGCGGCTGCTGCTGCAGCTGTCCCGGCTGCCGCTGCTGCTGCTGCTGCTGCTGCTGTTGCTGCTGCTGGCCCGGTCGTTGGAGAGGAGGGGGGGAGTGAGAGGAGGAGGGAGAGGGGGGAGGGGGCGCAGCGGAGTGGGCCGGGGAGGCGGGTGCGGCGGGGTCATAGACGTCAGCAGAGGAGGACGGAGGGAGTGGAGCGGCAACGGGGGGGAGGAGAGGAGAGGGAGGGAGGAGAGGTGGGAGGACAGTGTCAGTCCAGGCGAGGGGGCGAGTGGGAGGAGGGAGAGGGTCAGGAGGAGGAGTGGAGTAGTAGGGGATGGACTCGTCGAAGACGACGTCAATGCTGCGGATGAGGTGGTTGGTGGGAGGGTGGAGGAACAGGTAGCCCGGGGAGTCGCGATTGTGCCCGAGGTAGACGCACTCAAGGGCACGGGGGGCGAGCTTGCCGGCGGCACGGGAGCGATCGGCCGGTGGGATGAGGACGAAGGACTTGCAGCCCCAAACGCGAAGGCCGGCAGCGTCAGGCTTGGCCTTAGACCAGAGTTCTGTGGGGGAAGAGGAGGGGTGCTGAGGGTGGGAGCGGAGATCGAGGAGGAGGGCGGCATGGAGAAGGGCATAGCTCCAGAGGGAGGGAGGGGTGGAGGCGTGGGCAATGAGGCAGCGGGCAATTTTGGTGATTTCGCGGATGCGACTCTCAGCAATGCCATTTTGCTGAGGGGAGTGGGGGAGGGTGGAAGTTTGCTGGATGCCATGAATTTTGCAGAAGGTAGCAAGGGTGTTGTTGATGAACTCACCCCCACCGTCAGAGTGAAGGCGGCCAATGGGGCGTTTGAAGTGATTGCGGCACTGCTCAGCCCAGGTGATGACAACAGCCGGGACCTGATCTTTGGTGTGGAGGAAAAAGACAGTGGAGTACCGACTGTGGTCGTCAACGAGGACGAGCATGTACCGGTGCCCCTGACGGGAGCGGAAGGGATAGGGACCCCAGAGATCCATGTGGACAAGGTCAATGGGGGCAGCAGCAAAGGTGGGATGGCTGTGATGGGGGGATTGCTTAAGCTTGCCATGAATGCATGATGGGCATGGGGGGGCAGGAGAGGAGGGGAGGGGAGGTAAGGTGGGAGGGAGGCTGTGAAGGAGACGAGAGGTGACAGTGGTGCGAAGTGCGGCGAAGTTGGGATGGCCGAGTCTGTGATGCAGAATGACTGCTGGGTGGGAGAGGGTAGTGGAGGAGGAGGGGGAGGGGGTGGAGGAAGAAGGGAGGGAGGAGGGAAGTGAAGAAGGGGAGGGGGATACCTGAGGGGGAGGGAGAGGGGGAGGAGGACCGGTGGAAGTACCAGCACGAGTGGTAACATGACAGAAGGAGGGACGGGGTGTGCGGAGCGTGTAAAGGCGAGTGCGGGGGCAAAGGGGAATGCGCAGGAGAAAGCGACCAGAGGAGGTTTGGTAAAGATCACTGTGATTGGCAAAGCCGGGGTAAATGGCAGTAATACCGACACCTTGGAGTTCTCGGTGAGAGAGGAGGTTGTTGCGAAGGGTAGGGATGTGGAGACCTGTGACCTTACCGGAGGGGAAAGCGGTGCAGGGGAGGGTGGAGAGGTGAGTGCATGGGATGGAGAAGCTGGAGTCAGCACCATGAACCTGGGTAGGAAGTGGGAGGGGGGTGAGGGTGCCAGCGTCTTTGAGTGCGGTTTCTGTGGCCCCACTGTCAAGGACAAAGTCCAAGGTGGGGGAGGAAGGGGGGGGGGGGGGTGAGACGGGGTACTGGAAAGACGTTTCATTGATAGCAGAGGGATACATGGAAGCGACGGAAGGTGCAGCAGCAATATGACCAAGGAAACTGCCCTGAGAGTCAGGGACACTCGGGGGGCCAGAGGGAATGGAACCCCAGGCAGGGGGGGCAAGGGAGGCATGAGCAGCCATGGCCGCTGCGCCAAAGGTCATCGGCTGCTGCTGCCACTGCGGAGGAAGGTACTGCTGCGGCTGCTGCTGCTGGAAGAACTGCGGCTGTGGGGGCTGCTGCGGCAGAAAGAGCGGCGGCTGCTGCTGCTGAAGAAACTGCGGCTGCTGCTGCTGCGGGAAGTACTGCTGCTGCTGCTGCTGGTGCTGCTGAAACTGCTGGAGCTGGGAGGGGAGGGAAGGGTTGAGTAGACGGAGGTGAGCGGGGAGGAAGGAGGGGAGGGTTTGGATGTCCACGAGGGACGGGCGAGGGGTAACACTGTTCCAGCGAGGAGGGGTACCAGTGTTGCCGCGGTCGAACCAGGCGTCATCAAGCGCCTTGAAGCAGGTGGCAGGGGGGTGGTTGGTCTGACCACACGGCGTGCCGGCGTGGGGACCGTGGCGGCGAACATACGTGCAGGGGGAAAGAGTCCCAGGGCGACCACCACCACGGCTCACAGCTCCACCAGCACTAGAGGAGCCTCCGGGAGCGGGGCCACTAGGACCACCACCACCACCACCACTACCACCACGGCCACCACGGCCACTACCCCTACTGCCACCTCCACTCCCTCCACGACCCCCGCTACCGCCGGTGCGACCACCCTGAGTGCGCGGCTGTGTGGCATTGAGGGAGGCGGAGGAGGAGTGAGTGGTGGTGAGGTTGACAATGGGGATGCGGAGCTTGACCTCCGTGTCAATGATCCACTGTGTCACCTCGGGGAGGCCAGCCAAGGGGTTCGCCTCGGTGAAGGCGTGAAGGCGGGACTCATAGTCTGGCGTGAGGTTGAAGAGCAGACGGTGGATCTGTAGGGGCTCGGAAAGGGCAGCCTGGCGAGCGGCAAGGCGATCGGCAACCTCCTGCATGCGCCCGACATAGTCGACTGCGCCGTCACAGGTGGCGAGGGTGATGGAGAAATACTCCTGGAATAGAACGCCAACAGAGCTGATGTCGCGACGCTCGAACATAGACTGGAGCTCGGTCCAAATGAGGTGAGCGCGCATCTCGCGAGCTTGGAAGCGGCGCATGAGGGCGTCGGGGAGAGCACCAAGAAGGATGGTGCAAGCGCGGTTGTCGGCAGCGGCCCAGGCGATGCTGTTGGGGACATAGGCCGCCATGGAGGTGGTGTACTCGGCAATCAGCTCCAGGCGAGTGGAACGCTCTGACGAGGCAAACTCATAGTTGAGGAGAGCAACGTCATGGTCGGCCTTGCGGATGAGGTATTCGCGGCGGTTGTGGAGGAAGGTGGCGTCCGCAGCAGCCTGAAGCTCGGGGGCAGTAGCCACGGTCAGGTTAGGCTCAGGAGGAGGGGGGCCAGGGCGGGGGGGGAGGGGAGGAGGTTCGCCAGGGTGATTGGGTGCGGTCGGTTGGAGAGCCTGCGGACGGCGAAGGAGGACGTCAAGGACGCAGTAGGGTCCGACGAAGGCGTCTTGAAGGACGCGGCGAATGCTGCCGACGAACGAGAGCCAGTTGATGGCGGAACGATCTGCAGCAAGCTGCAGCTTGTCAACCGAAGAGGCGTCGATAGGAGGGGGGAGAGGAACAGGAGGGGTGGTAGCCATGATGGGCGGCGGAGGGTGGACCCTCGGCGGCCAAGGGGGAGACGACGGCGGGTGAACCCGCGGCGGTCAAGGGGGAGGCGACGGCGGGTGGACCCGCGGCGGCCAGGGGGAGGGGGAGGTGCTGCTGCTGGACCCCTCCGGCTGTTGCTGCTGCTGCTGTTGCTGCTGCTGCCACTGCTGCTGCAACTGCTGCTGCTGCCGCCGCCGCTGCTGCTGCCGCAGCTGGGGATGCCTCGGCTGCTGCTGCTGCTGGCAGGAGAGGGGAGAGGGAGAGGCGGAGGGAGAGGGGGAGAGGGGGAGGGGGAGGAGGGTGCGGTCAAGGGCGCGGCGGGCACGGCTGCCACTGGTGGTGCTGCTGCCGGTGCTGTCGTTGCAGTTGGGGATGCCGCTGCTGCCGCAGCCGCCGCTGCTGCTGCTGCTGCCGCTGCTGCCGCTGCTGCTGCTGCTGCTGCTGCTGCCGCTGCTGCTGCTGCTGCTGCTGCCGCTGCTGCTGCTGCTGCTGCTGCTGCTGCCGCTGCTGCCGCTGCTGCCGCGGCTGTAGCTGCTGCCGCTGAGTCAAGGAGAGGGGAGAGGGAGTGGCGGAGGAAGAGGGGGAGAGGGGGAGGGGAAGGAGGGTGCAGTCACGGGCGCGGCCTACACGACTGCCGCTGCTGCTGCTGCTGTTGCTGCTGCCGCCGCTGCTGCCGCGGTTGTAGCTGCTGCCGCTGCTGCGAGGAGAGGGGAGAGGGAGAGGCGGAGAGAGAGGGGGGGGGAGGGGGAGGGGAAGGAGGGTGCAGTCACGTGCGCGGTTGGCGCAGCTGCCACTGGTGGTGCTGCTGGGGATGCCGGTGGTGCCGCTGCTGCCGCCGCCGCTGTTGCCGCTGCTGCCGCTGCTGTTGCTGCTGCCGCTACCGCTGCCGCTGCTGCCGCGGCTGTAGCTGCTGCGGCGGTGTCGAGGAGAGGGGGGGGGGAGGGAGTAACGGAGGGAGAGGAGGGGAGGGGGAGGGGAAGGAGGGAGCAGTCACGGGCGCGGTTGGCACGGCTGCTGCTGATGTCACTGCTGCCGGTGCTGTTGCTGCTACGGGGGAAGCCGCTGCTGCTGCTGCTGTCGCGGCCGCTGCTGTTGTCGCTGATGCCGCTGTCGCTGCTGCCGCTGCTGCCGCTGCCGCTGTTGCTGCCACTGCCGCTGCTGCTGCTGCTGCTGCCACTGCTGCTGCTGCTGCCGCTGACGCTGCTGCTGCTGTCGCCGCTGCTGTAGCTGCAAGGAGAGGGGGAGGGGGTGGGAAGGGCAGGCGGCGACGAGGTGGTCGCGGCGGCGGAAACCGCGGGCGATGGCAGTGCGATCACGGTGGGAGGAGTGCGCAGGCGGCGACAGCGTGGTCGCGGCGGCTGGAAGGGCAGGCGGCGACGGAACTCCGCGGGAAATACGCGGGGAATACACGGCGACGGGGAATGCCGTAGGAGAGTCGCAGGAATTCGCGACGAAACAGGTCGCGGGGGGCCGGGAGGGCAGGCGGCGACGAGAATCCGCGGGGATTCCGCGGGAAAGTCGCGGCGGCGGGGGTTTCCGCGGGTAATCCGCGACGAAGGGGTTGCGGGGGCAGGGAGGGCAGGCGGCGACGAGAATCCGCGGGGATTCCGCGGGAAGTTCGCGGCGGCGTGGGAATCCGCGGGTAATCCGCGACGAAAAGGTCGCGGGGGCGGGGAGGGCAGGCGGCGACAGAAATCCGCGGGGATTCCGCGGGAATTTCGTGGCGGCGGGGGGGTCCGCGGGGAATCCGCGACGAAAAAGGTCGCGAGGGCGGGGAGGGCAGGCGGCGACGGGAATGCGAGAGGAATCCGCGGGAAATCCGCGGCGGCGAGGGAATCCGCGAGGAATGCGCGGGAAATCCGCGGCGGCGGGGAAATTCGCGGGAAATCCGCGGGCGGAGAGAACGCGGCGGCGAAATCGGCGGGACTTGGCGGCGAAATCCGCGGGACGCGGCGACGGGGAGGTCGCGGCGAGAAGGAGCCGAGATGAGGGGGAGAGGGGGAGAAGACGACGGCGACGGAACGGTCGCGGCGCGAGGGAAGTGTGTGTGTGTGTGTGGTGGGCCCTTGGGAAAAAAAAAATGGGATGGGGAAGGGAAGGTTAGGAGAATCTAGCTCTATACCATGTGAAGAAAGGAAACTCAAGCATTAACTTCATTAGAGAGTTTGCAAGCATACATAGCTTTGGGAAGAGAAGGTTGGAAGGGAAAGGAGGGAGGTGGGAATGGGGGAGTGGGCCAACCTATGGCCCATTGGGTTGGGTTGGCCATACTTGGGGGAGTGGGCCAACCTATGGCCCATTGGGTTGGGTTGGCCTCACTTTGTGAGAGTGGGCCAACCTATGGCCCATTGGGTTGGGTTGGCCCTTACTTTGTGAGAGTGGGCCAACCTATGGCCCAATGGGTTGCATTTGGGGGCTCCACCACAATTGGGTTGGATTGGCACCCCAAAGTGCAAGACTACACCCAAAGTTGGGTGTAGTCCCAACCCAACTGTACACCACAATTGGTGTACAGTCACAAGTGTTAGCATGCTAGAATATGGCAATTCTAACACTGTCGACCAGGGAGCTCGACAGCTGCAACTGACTGGTCTGAGCGACGGGTGGGCCGTCGACCAAGAGGGGCAGTTCGATCGGGAGGTCGACGGAGCAGTCCGTCGACTTGCAGTTCGACTGAGAGGTCAACGGAGCAGTCCGTTGACCTGACAAGTGAGCAGCGGTCGACGAGGGGAGCTCGGCGACAACAGCTGATAATTCTGGTCGACAGAAGGGCTCCGTCGATCAGGGGGTGGCTCGACGGGAGCTGTGGTCGACCAGGGGCACCTAGTGGTCGACCAGAGGGACCCGGTGGTCGACCAGAGGCGGTGGTCAACCAGAGCACCTGGGGTTGTCCAGGTCGACCGCGTAACGTGCTCGGCGAGTTCTGCGGAGGCACGCGAACGTCGTCGAGGTCGCGATGGCGAAGGCGACTTCGGGTTGGTATCCCGAAGTTGATGTGGCTCGTCAGGCGCAGACAACAGTCGATGGATGCACAATGGTGCAAGTTGGGCCAATCGTCTGCGCGCACCTGCGAGCGTGCGCACTGCTGTCTTCTACGGGGCAACGCTGGACAGCCGCTCTGCTGCAGCGTTGGCACACCGTCGACCTGCTGTGTTGGCAGGTCGCCTTTCTGCAGTGCCGGCGCAGCTCCTCTACGCAACGTTGGCAGGCGGTCGACCATACTGTGCTGTCGGTCGACTAGGCTAGCTGCAGAGTTGCTAGGTGCCTGATGTAGTCATTGTTGTCATTGCTTGTTCAACAATTATGTAATTCCAACTTTGCTTAGTGAAACTCTTGCCGATTTCTCCCGTGTATGTGCAAGCACTAAGGAACTAAGCAAAGCTACGATCACTCCTAGTAGTTCGTGCCAACCTCCGTAGTCTAGCTCACAACCGTTGTAGAGTGACTCTCCGCAGACAGGAGGATTGGTTGGGCCGGGGGCTGAAGGGGCGGAGGTGGAGGGTACCCTTTGCATGGCCTCACACTCTCCCTCCCTCACCACCGCACACTCCAACCCCACACGCTCTCATGCAAACGCGCAGTCCCACCCACACTCACACACTTCCACCCAAACTCTCCCGGGCGCGAGCACTCACCTGGCGGAAGGAGTTGGAGAAGGAAGTCGAGGCGGCACTCAGGGCGGCTTCTCCTGCTGACGTGTCATCTACTGCTGAAAAGCGAAAGGATGGATGAAGAGTGGGAGAGAAAGGAGTGGAAGATGGAAGGGAGAAGACATGAAAAGAGAAGGTGAGGGTGAAAAGGACAGTGGTAAGTGGGCGAGAGTGAGGGTAGGAGAGTGAGTGTGAGAGTAGGATGAGGATGAGGAGGATGAGGAGGAGGAGGAGGAGGAGGAGGAGGAGGAGGAGGAGGAGGAGGAGGAGGAGGAGGAGGAGGAGGAGGAGGAGGAGGGGGAGGAGGGGGAGGAGGAGGAGGAGGAGGAGGAGGAGGAGGAGGAGGAGGAGGAGGAGGAGGAGGAGGAGGAGGAGGATGAGGAGGGGGAGGAGGAGGAGGAGGAGGAGGAGGAGGAGGAGGAGGAGGAGGAGGAGGAGGAGGAGGAGGAGGAGGAGGGGGGGGAAGAGGAGGAGGAGGAGGAGGAGGAGGAGGAGGAGGAGGAGGAGGAGGAGGAGGAGGAGGAGGAGGAGGAGGAGGAGGGGGAGGAGGAGGAGGAGGAGGAGGAGGAGGAGGAGGAGGAGGAGGAGGAGGAGGAGGAGGAGGAGGAGGAGGAGGAGGAGGGGGAGGAGGAGGAGGAGGAGGAGGAGGAGGAGGAGGAGGAGGAGGAGGAGGAGGAGGAGGAGGAGGAGGAGGAGGAGGAGGAGGAGGAGGCAAATGAAGAAACGGAACAGATAAACCCGAATTTTCAAGAAAACTCATCACCCTCCTCCGCCAATTCAAGTGGCGTGCCTTTTATGCGTGCCTTTCCCTTTGATTAATAAAATCCGTTTTTTTTTTCCAAAGCACACTCTCTGCTGCACCAATGCTATCCACAACCACAGCACCTGCTGAGATGGACGGCCGAGATTGGCTGTCCTGGGTCGCGCGCCCCTCGGCGATGGTGACAGGTGGCAGCGCAGCATTGGTGGGGCGGAAATGCACCCCCAGCAGCAGGCTGTAGTCCATTATGCGCTGCCGTTGCAGGAACGTCGTGTCCAGAGCGATTTGCCTGGTGGGGAACGGAGGAAAGAGGGGAGGGAGGGGAACAGAGGGAGTTGAGAGGTACATGATGCACATATTCAGAACGACATGCACCCGTCGCAAGCAGGCTGTATTCAGGAACGCCGTTTCTAGAGCGATTTGCCTGGAGGGCGGATACAGAGAGAGGGAGAAGAGGGAGAACAAAATGGAGAATGATGCCAATGAGGTGCCTCCAGTGACTCCCAACAGCAGGCTGTAGTCCATTATGCGCTGCCTCTGCAGGAACGCCGTGTCCAGCGCGATATGCCTGGACAGCGACAGAGGAAAGAGTGGAGAGAGGGAAAGGTGGGAACAGAGGGGGCTGGGAAAACTCAAAAGTACATGCGCCCATATGTTCTGCAGCTGCAGGCAGGAAAGCCATGTTGAGGCCGTGAGACCATGAAACGGGGTGACTTTTGAGTCGACTCAAAAGTCATCTTGAGGCCATGAGACCATGAAACGGGGTGACTTTTGAGTCGACTCAAAAGTCACCTTGAGGCCGTGAGACCATGAAACGGGGTGACTTTTTAGTCGACTCAAAAGTCACCTTGAGGCTGTGAGACCATGAAACGGGGTGACTTTTGAGTTGACTCAAAAGTCACCTTGAGGCCGTGAGACCATGAAACGGCCACTCACTGCCACCATACTCACCTGTGCATGAAGGCTCGCCACGAGGCGGGCATGCGGAAGGAGCGACCGAGATCCAAATCTTTCAGTGTAGCTGTTTCATCCACAGCCACCTTCTCCGTGCTCGCCCCTGCGACGACCCCTTGTGGCCATGAGGCTATATGCATGGGCCCACTCTCGCGCTCTCACACCCACCTGTGCATGAAGGCTCGCCACGAGGCGGGCATGCGGAAGGAGCGACCGAGGTCCAAATCTTTCAGTGTAGCTGTTTCATCCACAGCCACCTTCTCCGTGCTCGCCCCTAGGTGACTTTTGAGTCGACTCAAAAATCTTTCAGTGTAGCTGTTTCATCCACAGCCACCTTCTCCGTGCTCGCCCCTAGGTGACTTTTGAGTCGACTCAAAAATCTTTCAGTGTAGCTGTTTCATCCACAGCCACCTTCTCCGTGCTCGCCCCTAGGTGACTTTTGAGTCGACTCAAAAATCTTTCAGTGTAGCTGTTTCATCCACAGCCACCTTCTCCGTGCTCGCCCCTAGGTGACTTTTGAGTCGACTCAAAAATCTTTCAGTGTAGCTGTTTCATCCACAGCCACCTTCTCCGTGCTGCGCCCCTGCGACGACCCCTTGTGGCCATGAGGCTATATGCATGGGCCCACTCTCGCGCTCTCACACCCACCTGTGCATGAGCGCTCGCCAGGATGCGGGCATGTGGAAGGAGAGATCAAGGTCCAATCCTTGAGTGTAGTGGTCTCATCCACTGCCACCTTCTCCGTGCTTCTCCCCTGCGACGACCCTTTCAAATCGAACCGTCGGTGCATGCGCAGGTCAGTGACAAACACGTTGGCCATCACCACAAAGCGGATGAGCGTGGAGGGCGAGGAGAGGACGGTCTGTAGCCGCACTCTTTACACACTCACCTATGCACGAGGGCTCGCCAGGAGGCGGGCATATGGAAGCTCAAATCGAGATCTAGATCCTTGAGTGTCGTTGTTTCATCCACTGCCACCTTCTCTGTGCTCCTCCCTTGCGATGACCCCTTGAGATCAAACCGTCGGTGCATGCGAAGGTCGGTGACAAAGACGTTGGCCATCACCACAAAGCGGATGAGCGTGGAGGGCGAGGAGAGCACCGTGTGTGCATGACAACCCTCTCTCACCAATGAACTCACCTGTGCATGAGGGCTCGCCAGGAGGCGGGCATGTGGAAGCTCAAATCGAGATCTAAATCCTTGAGTGTCGTTGTCTCATCCACTGCCACCTTCTCCGTGCTGCGCCCCTGCGACGACCCCTTGAGGTCGAAGCGGCGGTGCATGCGAAGGTCAGTGACAAACACGTTGGCCATCACCACAAAGCGGATGAGCGTGGAGGGGGACGAGAGCACCGTGTGTAACCGCCGCCGCCGCCGATACCTCTGCGGATGGTTGTGCTGCTGGTGGGGGTCCGGGTGTTGGTGTTGCTGCTGCTGTTGTTGATTTGTGGGGACAGAGGGATGGGAAGCACTCGCAGTGGTGCTGCTGGTGGTGGTGGTGGCGGGATTGACGGTGGTGCTGGCGCGTGGGGTGTTGGTGGTGGCGTTTTGGGTGGCACTGGCGAAGGGTGATGGGGGGAAGAGGGTGCGCGAGCATCGCAGGGTTACCTCGGGAGACGAGGGGATATCACTTAGAGGCGAGCCTGCAGCAGTAGCAGCAAAAGCAGCAGCAGAGGTGGTGGCGGCTGTTGCTGTGCTGTTGGTGTTGGTGGTGCTGGTCGTGGTGGTGTTGGTGTTGGTGTTGCTAGTGGTGGTGGTGCTGGTGGTTGTGGTGTTGGTGGTGGTTGTGGAAGCAACAGAAGAGGAGGGGGATAGTTTGTTGCTGGTGGAAGAAGAACGGGACAGGTTGGAGGGTTGCTTTGTGTTGTAAACGCGGATGGAGTGTAGCCCGAAGAACTTGGTGATGAGCGTGTGCTCGCAGTCCCTCACATGCCGGAAATAGTCCGGTAACATGCGTTGTAACACCTGCTCCAGAAGAAGGAGAAGAAGAAAAAAAAGGATAAAAATAAAACAAAAACAACACAAAACAAAACAGAAAAATAACAAGAGGGTATGGCAATGAATGTGTGCATGTGTGAGGTCGCTCGCCATCCGGTACGTGCCGACATCTGTTGTAACACCCACACCAGAAAGGAACATCATGTTTTCAACGAACAAAATGTACACAACGGAAAAGAGGGGATGGGTTGCGGAAATGTATACACCAGAAAGGAACGACAGACATGTGTGTGCTCGCAGTCACAGCCGTTCCCCTTCTTACTCCGCACCCACTCATCCTCATCCTCTTAACCCCTTCCACCCCCTCCCCTGCTCCACATCTTGCCCACCCCTACTCACCCGCACTTCAGAGGCGCGCATGGTTTTGATGATAAACCGGTCATCGTCCGACAGGTAGAACACACTCCCGGACTTGCCCGGGGATGACAGCTCCCTCAGAGCGTTATCTCCACACAGAGAGAGCGTGTAGTCTGCTGGATCGATGCCAAACATGGCGCGCAGCTCACTGGAGGGGGAATGCAGGGGAGGGGAGTAAAAGAAGGGGCGGGTGGGTGATGGATGTTGGCACAGAGAGAGGTAGAGGGAGAGAGAGAGCGTGTAGTCTGCTGGATCAATGCCAAACATGGCGTGCAGCTCACTGGAAGGGGGGATAGGAAGGAACACCGGAACCCAATAAGGCAGCACACGCACACAAGATGCTGTGTGTCAGCTTGCCCGGGGAGGGACGACAGCTCCCTCAGGGCGTTGTCGCCTCGCCGCACAGAGACACCATGTAGTCAGCTGGATTAATGCCAAACATGGCGCGCAGCTCACTGAAGGGGATGCAGGCGAGTAAAAAGGGGGTGGAGGGGGGTGGGGAGAGTTGATGCAGAGATAGGGAGAGAGACAGCGTGTAGTCAGCTGGAGTGATGCCAAACATGGCGCGCAGCTCGCTGGAGGGGGCGAGGATGGGAAGGAGAGGTGGGGCGGGCGGGTGAACAGGGTTGGCATGACTTTTGAGACGTCTCAAAAGGCGGGCGGGTGAACAGGGTTGGCATGACACAGTGCACATAGGGAGGGAGCCTTCGGAATAACCCACCTAAAGGCCTTGGGACCGTAGTCGTAGCAAGCTACAAGGCTCGTGGATGGGCTTCACGTGACATGAGGCTCACCTGAAGGCTTTAGGAGCATAGTCACACCAGGTGAAGGGGAGTGTGTTGTGGGGCGGCGTGCAGGAGGAGCCCTCTCGTGGGAACCACATCCTGTCTGCCGCCACAAAGTGGGAAGCTCTCAGGAGGCACTGCTGTGCTTGGACCCACACACACTCTCACTCACCTGAAGGCCTTGGGAGCATAGTCGCGCCAGGTGAAGGGGAGCGTGTTGTGGGGCGGCGTGCACGAGGAGCCTTCCGGAGGGAACCACATCCTGTCTGCTGCCACAAAGTCCTCTGCACGCAGATCAGCTGAGGTAGGTGCAACTGGGGCAGGTGCGGCTGGTGCAGAGAGCGCAGCTGGGAAAGGTGCAGCTGTGGGAAGTGTGGTGGGGGTGGATGCTGCTGGGATGGCCGCTGATGGGGGAGGTAGTTCTGAGGGAGGGGCAGCTGCAGAAGGGGCAACTGGGGGAGGTGTTGCCCGCCCTGTGGAGTGCCTGGTGGGTGGGATGGGGCAGCGGAATGGGGAGGTGGGAGGGGGAGGGGGAAGGTGGGAAGTGTGAGGTGGGGGAGGTGCTTCTGATGGAGGGGCAACGGGGGAAGGTGTTGGCCGCCCTGTGGAGTGCCTGGTGGGTGGGATGGGGAGGGGTGGGTGGGGGAGGTGGGAGGTGGGGGAGGTTCTTCTGAGGAAGGGGCTGCTGGGGAAGGGGTAGGTGCGGAAGGGGCAACTGGGAGAGGTGAGTTGACTTTTGAGTCGCCTCAAAAGTCAACTTCTGAGGAAGGGGCCGCTGGGGAAGGGGTAGGTGCGGAAGGGGCAACTGGGAGAGGTGCTGGCCGCCCTGTGGAGTGTCTGGAGGGTGGGATGGGGAGTTGGGATGGGGATGTGGGATGGTTAGGTGGGGTGGGTGGGTGGGGAGGAGGGATGCGGAAGGGTTCATTAGAGGAATTTAGGGGTCGCTTCGAGCAATGTGGGCGAATGTGAGGGAGGGGATGTGTCACATCACATGTACATTAAGGGGGATAATTAGCGCATTACAGGGGTGAGAACACAATGAGCAGTGAGGGATGACACACAACACAAGGAGCCCCACCTGAGCCTTAAGTGAGACCCACCTCAGCCCCACCTGAGACCCACCTGAGCCTCACCAGAGTCTGGGCACACAAGGAGGCCCAAATCACCTGAGCCCCAGCTGTATGGCCGTCATGAGGTCGTAGCTGCGGTGGCCCTTGTAGATCAGCTCTCAGTTGCTCACAGTGAGGACAGCGAGCAGCGGAGGCCATGAGGGCAGTTGAAAAGTGAGGGGGTGAGGACACACGGCACAAGGAGGCCCCACCCACCCCCACCCACCTGAGCCCCAGCTGTATGGCCGTCATGAGGTCGTAGCTGCGGTGGCCCTTGTATATCAGCTCGCCCGCCTTCCTCCCCGCCCTGCGTGTCGGTCCACGCCGCCTCTGCCAGTGGTAAGAATGAACGGACAGTGTGGGGTGGGGGAGACGGGAAGAGGTTGGGGCGGACTGAGTAAGAAAGGGTGAGTTTCCACGCTTCTGCCAGTGATTGTGCTTGTTCGTGTTCTTGTGCTTATGCACATGCTCAGCTGCATACCCTTTATAAGCAGCACACACAGAATTAAGCACTACTCACCACGAGGTCGTGCTGCAGCTTGGACCTTGGGATCTCTGCCACCATCACACCCTGTACATACTCCCGCACTGTCACCACCTTGCTGTACCGCCCACGCTGCCTCTGCTTGCGGCCTGAAGAGAACATGGCACTCGAACGCAGCGAGTCCAGTGCAGAGGGCTCGGCTGCACCCGCTTCACTCTCCTGGGCTGCAGGGGGTGGGGAGCCGGTGGGAGGCAGGAACGGGAAGGGGTTGCTTGTGCTGGTGGTGCTAGAAGGAAGTGCCGTTTGTGCTGCCTCTGGTTACTGCTTCTTTGCAGCCTGATGAGAACATGGCGCTCGAACTGGAAAGGGTTAGCGCTGGTGGTGCTGGTAGGCAGTGCCGTTTGTACTGCTTCTGCGTGCAGCCTGAAGAGAACATGGCGCTTGATCGCAGCGAGTCCAAGGCAGAGTCAGCACCCGCTTCGCTCTCTTGGGCTACAAGGGGTGGGGAGAAGGAATGAGATGAAAGGAGAGGTTTCTTGTGATGGTAGTGCTGGTAGTGCTGTGCTTGGGGGGTGCTCGTGCTGCCTCTGCCTGCAGCCTGAAGAGAACATGGCACACCTGAATGCAGCAAGTCCGGAGCAGAGTCGGCACCTGCTTCGCTCTCTTGGGCTGGAAGATCAGGAAGAGAAGGGTGGGGAGAGAAGAATGGGAAGAGAATTGGAGAGCGGTGCTTGTGCTGGTAGTGCTGATAGTGCCACCCGTGCTGCCTCTGTGTGCAGGCCAATGCAAGACGCAAAGGCATAGTCAGCAGCCGTTTTGCTCTTGTGTTGGGGCTGCGAGGCTAGAGGCATGGGCCCAGAGGCAAGGAGAGCTACGTGATAAAAGTGTAGTTTTGAGACGTCTCAGGGCTGCGAGGCTAGAGGCATGGGCCCAGAGGCAAGGAGAGCTACGTGATAAAAGTGTAGTTTTGAGACGTCTCAGGGCTGCGAGGCTAGAGGCATGGGCCCAGAGGCAAGGAGAGCTACGTGATAAAAGTGTAGTTTTGAGACGTCTCAGGGCTGCGAGGCTAGAGGCATGGGCCCAGAGGCAAGGAGAGCTACGTGATAAAAGTGTAGTTTTGAGACGTCTCAGGGCTGCGAGGCTAGAGGCATGGGCGCAGAGGCAAGGAGAGCTACGTGATGCGATGGAGATGGGGGGTTGGGGAGGGAACAACTTGATTTGAGACGTCTCAAAACTTGTAAAGCGATGGAGATGGGGGGTTGGGGAGGGAACAACTTGATTTGAGACGTCTCAAAACTTGTAAAGCGATGGAGATGGGGGGTTGGGGAGGGAACAACTTGATTTGAGACGTCTCAAAACTTGTAAAGCGATGGAGATGGGGGGTTGGGGAGGGAACAACTTGATTTGAGACGTCTCAAAACTTGTAAAGCGATGGAGATGGGGGGTTGGGGAGGGAACAACTTGATTTGAGACGTCTCAAAACTTGTAAAGCGATGGAGATGGGGGGTTGGGGAGGGAACAACTTGATTTGAGACGTCTCAAAACTTGTAAAGCGATGGAGATGGGGGGTTGGGGAGGGAACAACTTGATTTGAGACGTCTCAAAACTTGTAAAGCGATGGAGATGGGGGGTTGGGGAGGGAACAACTTGATTTGAGACGTCTCAAAACTTGTAAAGCGATGGAGATGGGGGGTTGGGGAGGGAACAACTTGATTTGAGACGTCTCAAAACTTGTAAAGCGATGGAGATGGGGGGTTGGGGAGGGAACAACTTGATTTGAGACGTCTCAAAACTTGTCAAGCGATGGAGATGGGGGGTTGGGGAGGGAACAACTTGATTTGAGACGTCTCAAAAATTGTAAAGCGATGGAGATGGGGGGTTGGGGAGGGAACAACTTGATTTGAGACGTCTCAAAACTTGTAAAGCGATGGAGATGGGGGGTTGGGGAGGGAACAACTTGATTTGAGACGTCTCAAAACTTGTAAAGCGATGGAGATGGGGGGTTGGGGAGGGAACAACTTGATTTGAGACGTCTCAAAACTTGAAAAGCGATGGAGATGGGGGGTTGGGGAGGGAACAACTTGATTTGAGACGTCTCAAAACTTGTAAAGCGATGGAGATGGGGGGTTGGGGAGGGAACAACTTGATTTGAGACGTCTCAAAACTTGTAAAGCGATGGAGATGGGGGGTTGGGGAGGGAACAACTTGATTTGAGACGTCTCAAAACTTGTAAAGCGATGGAGATGGGGGGTTGGGGAGGGAACAACTTGATTTGAGACGTCTCAAAACTTGTAAAGCGATGGAGATGGGGGGTTGGGGAGGGAACAACTTGATTTGAGACGTCTCAAAACTTGTAAAGCGATGGAGATGGGGGGTTGGGGAGGGAACAACTTGATTTGAGACGTCTCAAAACTTGTAAAGCGATGGACATGGGGGGTTGGGGAGGGAACAACTTGATTTGAGACGTCTCAAAACTTGTAAAGCGATGGAGATGGGGGGTTGGGGAGGGAACAACTTGACTCACCATGAGACGAGCTTGTGTGCCTGTCTGCAGCAGTGCTGCCACCACGATCCCCGTCCGCACCCGCCCGCCCCTCATCCCCCTCCTCCCCATTCGCCAAACCCACAGACGACCCACGCACCCATCCCGCTAACCCGCCCCCAGCACCGCTCTGCACCGCACTGTCAACCCGGCCGCTGTTCTCCCTAGCAGGAACAGGGCCCATAGTGAACACGCGAGTCAGCTTCGCCGCGGCTGCTTTTGAAGAGGCTTGTTCTGACGACCACCAGCAGCACCCAGGGTGGTGGACGGAGTACCACCAGCGCCAGCACTGTCAACGCTGCTTCTACGGGTGGTGCCACTGTTGCTGGCGCCAGCGCCGAGGCTTCCCTCGGAGGCCGCGTGGGGGAGGTTGAGGGATGGGATTGAGGGCTTTGCTGCTGCAGATGATTTCGTGGAGCGAAGAGACCAGTGGCGCCCCTTCTTTCCTTGCTCTCCCTGCTGCTGTGGCGACGGCTGCTGCTGAGGGGTATCCCTGTCTTTCTCCTTCTCCTTGCTCCACATTCTCCATAGCTTGGGTGCAGCAGCAGTCGCCTCGTCCCCTCCCTGCTTCGCTCCCTTCTCTTTGCCTGCTACCTGTCCCTCCGTCTTCTGCTCTGCTCCTATTACTGCCTCTGCTGTTCCGCCCGCACCCACAGCACCAGCTGCAGCAGCAGCAGCAGTAGCCCCACTACCATCAGTCACAGCATCGCCACTCTCACTGCCTACAACCACATTCTCTACCGCCATCCCTCCTTCAGTCACACCCGCTACACTCACACCCGCGGACCCAGCCTCCCCTTCCGCCCCTCCCTTCCCCACCTCCTCCTCCCCCCCCTCCCCCGTCTCCGTTCCCGCCACATCAGCAGCCTCCTCTGCAATCATCCCCACCGTCTCCTCCCAACCGGACCCTACACTCCCCCCCCGCTCCTGACAACTTTCCCACAACCTACCCCCTACCATACCCCTAGCGCCCCTAGACATCGGCGTGGGTCCGGGAACAGACTTCGACTTACCTAATTTTAACTCACACTCAGCCCACTGCCGTTCCAGCGCCTCCTTTCTCTTCCAATCCCGCGTCTCCCCCGCCCGCCCTCCACCAATCACAGACATGCTCCGGCTAAAATTCTTCGGCCCGGTGCCAGAAGGGGTAATACTGAGTACGCCCGCGCTGCTGCTGGGGCGAATTGCCTTGTTACCCCCTCTGGGAGTGTGGATAGCGCTACTGGTGCTGGGGCGCTTATCGGAATTACCTGCGGCTGTTGCAGCTGCTGCGGTAGTGTCAATACTGAGCCCGTCCCCTGCTGCCTTGTCACCCTGGCCCGTTGAACTTGCAAACCCTTCCCCTCCCCCTCCCCCTCCCCCTGATGCTCCTACGCCTATCGCCCCTCCATCGCCTGTCGTCGCTGCTCCTCCGTCCGCCTCTTGCCGCTGCTGCTGCTGCGGATGCGACTGCGGCTGCGGCTGCGGCTGCGGCTGCGGGTGCGGCTGCGTCGGTTTCTTCTGATCCGCCGGCTTCCACCCAATCGATAGCCCCCGGGCCATCGTCAGTCCGCGGCCGAGCGGGCGAACCCCTCTCTTTCCGCCTCCTGCGCCAGTGCCACTACCGCCAGCAACAGCGGCGGAAACCCCTGCAGCCCCTACAGCACCCGCAGCATCCGCATCACCACTGCCAGCAGCAGCGGCCGCCTCTTTCTCCGAAGCAGTACCCTCCACCTCCACCCCAACCCCCGTCGCGCTCCCTGCTTCCCCCTTCTCCTCACCCCCTCCCCCACCTCCCTCCTCCTCCACCCACTCCTCCTCTTCCTCTCCCTCCTCCTCATACCCTCTCGGGAAGTACAACCCCTTGCCGTCCTTCAATCCACTGCTCCACGTGCCTTCGAAGCAGCTTCCGTCGGCCCACTTAAACGTTCCCGCTCCATGCTCAAGCCCCGCTTCCCACTCCCCCTCGTAACTATCCCCATTCGCCCACGTTAGCGTTCCATACCCGCTCATCTTCCCGCCTTCCCACTCCCCGAAATACTCATTCCCGTTGCTCCATTTGTACCGACCAGGACCGTCCGGCACCCCCCGGCTCCAGAACCCCTCATAAACGTCTCCGTTAGTGTAATGCTTCCTACCGAGTCCGTGATTCACCCCAGCGGCCCAGTTCCCGGTATAGAATGCTCCGTCAGGAGCCCAATGGCTACCCACGCCTTGGAGAGCGCCGTCCTTCCATTCCCCTTCGTAACGTGTGCCGTCAGTTAGTTCGAACCACCCTTGGCCGTGCTTCCGTCCCCTGTCCCATTCCCCTTCGTACACGCTCCCATCCACCCAGAAGTATCGCCCGGTGCCGTGCGGTGCTCCTCCCGCCCATTCGCCCACGTACTTATCGCCGTTCGGGAAGTTTTTCCGGGTTACCGCTGCTCCTTCGCGAAGGTTCGCCGGAAGATCTGAATCGAAGGTTCGCGCGGGGGACGGCGCTGTCGCGGCGGCGAGCGTGCGAGGGTTGTTAGGCGCGAATGTGGTAACCAGCGCGGGGATTCCTTCTGCGTTCGGAGATGATTTCGCAGCTACGGCTGGTTCCGCGGATAGCGGTGCTGCTGATAACGAGGATAGTGACGATCCTGTTGAAGCAGAAGCCATTACTACGGCTAGCTTGTAGAAGTTGCTTAGTTGACCATACAGTGGGAGAATGTTACGAGATGGAAAAAGCGGCACTCATGCAAGACATGATACACCTGTGAAGGATAATGTGTGAAATCGTCCATGAATAGAATGAATTAGCAGCTTCGTAGCTTATGCGAATGGCTAAAACATCAGAACCATGGTCTTTATTAGAAGAAGGCTCTAATGAAAGCAGGCTAAATATGAAACATCCCTGAATTCAAGGCCCTCCAGGAACAACACAAATACAAGTATGTAATAAAGGGATCTATGTCCGCAACACAAATCGTGACGAAAACCAAATCAATATGGCGGAAGCAGCATTGACAAATTTGAAGAAATGAAAAGCTAGGAGCTTCTATCCATCCATCCTGTTGTTCGGATTGGCCTCACAGAAATGGCCGATGCCGCAATGGCTGTGGAAGGCAAGACCTGGTTCTAGAGGTCGTCGGTCACGTTGGCTCCGTTTGTCTCCCTCGGTTTTGTCTTGTCATTCGCGAATAATGGTCCTGAACTTGCCCGTTCGCGACTTTGTGTACAGTTTGTGATGCGAGCTTCGCCAACATGGTTCGCCAGATTCGGGTAGTACTGTACATATCGGCGGTCCGTCGAGCTGGTGAGACCACCTCTGCAAGGCCATTTTCCACGAATCGCAAGGCAGCGCCACTTCACCACAAATGAACAAAAGGCACAACCATCCATCAAGACTGATTTCACGGCATAATCACACCATCGATGGTGTGATATGTGACAACATCGATTCTACACGTAACGTTTACGTAGCCAAAGCTTCTACACTATGCCGGAATTCTCCAGGGAAGCTTTCTGCCATTGTCGATATTTCCCGCCAACAGAGGAGCACCCTGGTTCTGATGCCAAAACGAACTGTTGCCGTGAGAAGCGGCATCTGTGGCACAACCAGCCCGCTTGCACAACCAGCCCGCGAGTGCCCGTGGCGGCAGTGCAGACGGGCTTGTCAACACGAAACATCCACTGGTGGAAAACCAGTCACATTGCACAGAACCGTGCTCAACGTTTCAAAACACCCTCCTGTTCCAAGACTCCTCCCTCCTCCAACCTCCTAGGTTGGGTTATCCACTTACCTTCAAAGTCGAATCGAAGGCCCACTGGTAGGAGGTTTCGAAGTCCACATTTCCCGAAGCGTCAGCTTACGCGAACGCAGTCTACATGTGCGGGCATTTTCCTTGTAAATAATATTTTCTCACGACCGTTGAATGCGAGTGCATTCGCTGTTGTGATGCCAGCTTCTTTACAAAAATTGTGCACAATAGCATTATAACAACGCGGAATCGCGTAAAATCTCGAGCAGTGTTCACGGTATCCCGCGTATTATATATGATGATGAGTTCTGCTTTCTTCAGTTGCCGAAACATCCCACTCGTGTCGCTTCTGTTGGTGCTGGCTCCGCTAATCTCGCCTCAGCAACACCAGCTCGTGCAGGCTATAAAGCTCGACATTCCTCTCGAGTTTTACCGCGGCGATAGTAAGACACCCGACATCCGCTTTCTAGTCAGGATCTGGATATCTTAAACACGTATCACGCTCGGCACTCCATTCGAGATTTCGAGCTTCCGTGCTACTTGTCAAACTTGCGTTCTCCTAAACTTCATCTTGTCGTAGCGACACTTATCGGTTAGCTTGTATCGGGGACTGCACCCAGCATACGTTCTGCCCGTGCGAAGTATTGTTATCACTCCCTGTGCTGCTTTTCAGCCTGCTTCACCACTTTCTTCCTCCCATCTCTTCATCGTTCCTTCACTCACTCCCTCCTTATCCATCCTGTATCCCTTCCCTCCTTCCTTCCTTCCTTCCTTCCTTCCTCCTCCCTCCCAACCTCCCTCCCTCCCTCCCTCCCTCCCTCCCTCCCTCCCTCCCTCCCTCCCTCCCTCCCTCCCTCCCTCCCTTTTTGTCTCTTCTCGCCCTTCCTTCTCGGCGTTCCACCTCATATTCCATCTTTTAACGGCGTCAACCCCGTCACTCCACCCACAACCCTTCCCCCCTCCTTCCCCCGTCACAGTAACCTACTTAAACAATTTCGCAGCAGCCATACCGAACTTCCCGCCGTACGCGTGGGCTGCTGACGTGGCACCGCCATGCCCGACCGGCAACTGGATTGGCGTGACGTGCAACGCAGAGAACTACGTGACTGATGTGTACGTCTGAGGAGTAGAGTACGGTTGAGAGGTGCGGGCAGTGCTGATGATGTGTACGTCTGAGGAGTAGAGTGTACGGGTGGGGTGTGGCAGGCTGCGGGGATAACGTGCGGTGACGTGGGAATGGGTGTATGGGTGTATGGGTGTATGGGAATGGGTGCATGGGTGTATGGGTGTATGGGAATGGGTGCATGGGTGTATGGGTGTATGGGAATGGGTGCATGGGTGTATGGGTGTATGGGAATGGGTGAATGGGTGCATGGGTGCATGGGTGTATGGGAATGGGTGCATGGGTGTATGGGTGTATGGGAATGGGTGAATGGGTGCATGGGTGCATGGGTGTATGGGAATGGGTGCATGGGTGTATGGGTGTATGGGAATGGGTGCATGGGAATGGGTGAATGGGTGCATGGGTGCATGGGTGTATGGGAATGGGTGAATGGGTGCATGGGTGTATGGGAATGGGTGCATGGGTGCATGGGTGCATGGGTGCATGGGTGTATGGGAATGGGTGAATGGGTGCATGGGTGCATGGGTGTATGGGTGCATGGGTGCATGGGTGCATGGGTGCATGGGTGCATGGGAATGGGTGCATGGGTGCATGGGTGCATGGGTGCATGGGTGCATGGGAATGGGTGAATGGGTGCATGGGTGCATGGGTGCATGGGTGCATGGGTGCATGGGTGAATGGGTGCATGGGTGTATGGGAATGGGTGCATGGGTGCATGGGTGCATGGGTGCATGGGTGTATGGGTGCATGGGAATGGGTGAATGGGTGCATGGGTGCATGGGTGCATGGGTGCATGGGTGCATGGGTGCATGGGTGTATGGGAATGGGTGCATGGGTGCATGGGTGCATGGGTGCATGGGTGCATGGGTGCATGGGAATGGGTGAATGGGTGCATGGGTGCATGGGTGCATGGGTGCATGGGTGCATGGGTGCATGGGTGCATGGGTGTATGGGAATGGGTGCATGGGTGCATGGGTGCATGGGTGCATGGGTGCATGGGTGCATGGGAATGGGTGAATGGGTGCATGGGTGCATGGGTGCATGGGTGCATGGGAATGGGTGAATGGGTGCATGGGTGCATGGGTGCATGGGTGCATGGGTGCATGGGTGCATGGGTGCATGGGTGCATGGGTGCATGGGTGCATGGGAATGGGTGCATGGGTGCATGGGTGCATGGGTGCATGGGTGTATGGGAATGGGTGAATGGGTGCATGGGTGCATGGGTGAATGGGTGCATGGGTGCATGGGTGCATGGGAATGGGTGAATGGGTGCATGGGTGCATGGGTGCATGGGTGCATGGGTGCATGGGTGCATGGGTGCATGGGTGCATGGGTGCATGGGAATGGGTGAATGGGTGCATGGGTGCATGGGTGCATGGGTGCATGGGTGCATGGGTGAATGGGTGCATGGGTGTATGGGAATGGGTGCATGGGTGCATGGGTGCATGGGTGCATGGGAATGGGTGAATGGGTGCATGGGTGCATGGGTGCATGGGTGCATGGGTGCATGGGTGTATGGGTGCATGGGTGCATGGGTGCATGGGTGCATGGGAATGGGTGAATGGGTGCATGGGTGCATGGGTGCATGGGTGCATGGGTGCATGGGTGCATGGGTGCATGGGTGCATGGGAATGGGTGAATGGGTGCATGGGTGCATGGGTGCATGGGTGCATGGGTGCATGGGTGTATGGGTGCATGGGTGCATGGGTGCATGG